ACATGTAATGTGAAGCAAGTTGCATAAGTCTCTATTCTCATCTTCAGAACTATCATATTGTTGTGGCATATATCTGTAGCTATGTGCCACAGAAGAAGGCTTTCTACATATCGATATCTGACACACTCCATTTAAGGTGTCTATTCGGAGTATCACTTAGAAATCCCATCACCTCTTTGCAGACATATCTTCTTCCCCAGTTCTACAGTCTTTGCAGTCAGAGCTTTATGTTTGAGCTCTTTGAAAATGAGATGCCATGCGTTGGGGTCTAATTCTTTGCCAGATGAGTACAGTGCGATTTTTATGGTGTCCAACATTCCCTTAACACCCAAAACTTCAATCAATTTGCTGAAAGATTCTGGATAATCATGAATGCACCAACTCATAAAATTGTACTGGCCAACTAAATTAGACCATCGGCGTCTCTCAATAACCATGGATTCAATATATGGGACTATCCCATTGCTGTGAGCAATGATAGTCCAATCTGAGAAAATGAGCATTACGAAAGATATGATGTCCAAAGCAATTGCTCCCGCAAGCAAAGCTACTGTAATTATAATGTCTATCTTTCTATACCCATCTTTACTGATGAAGGCAAATGAGATAGAAGCTGCCAAAATACAGATGAAATTAACAATGCGGAAGAAGTAGCCTTTCTTGCAACGCACCACCACAATCTTAGTATGAAGAACCTCATAGAGGAGACTAAGCTCCACAACCAGTATCCGAAAAACATCAAAAGAGTTTCTATTGAGAAAGAATTCTCGACTGGCAAGGCGTTCTTGTGAGCCCAGAAGAAGACCTACAATTAGCCCCTTGAAACTGTTAAAAAATGTGAACGCATACTGCAATACTGCTCTGGAACTCATTTGATCACTTGATCCTACTTCTTCTGGGTAGTTTTGATATTCTTCATCCGGGCCTTTTATCATCTTTGTTCTTGCCGGAAGATTTGCTTTGGTAATTGATGAATACATCTGAACCACTCTTTCATATTCAGGACCAGGATTTGGTTTCCTACAAACCGATTCCCCAAAATGATCAAGACAAGCAAGATATAAAGCACGAGTCCTCTCTGCAAATCTAATAGTTCCTGCAATTAGCACCAGAATGGTAGGCACCAAAAGTCTGTTTCCTGGAATTGTTTGGAGTAAGACATAAATAGCAGCCAGAACCTGTAAAATGAGACTCAGCAAGTGCCTGATCCACAGCTCATTATCCTCCAGAGAAAAAGCAGTAATGGTATCAGGACCACCCAGATGCAGCAAAAGAAAGGGTGCCCAAAAAGCTAAGAGCTCAGCATTGTCATGAGGTCCGCAATCTTTACCCTGTTTGCTAGAGATTAACCCAACTGCAACGGCAGCAACCCAGTCTGCAAGCAAGTAAGCTGACCAGATTCCAATAATTATCCATGTCTTTCCTCTTCGTTTCCTTGAAGATGAGAAAAAGATCAAGACAATCTGCAGTGCCAGACTCACAGCAATGGCGACCCGGAGATTCCATCTATCCCACCGCTCCTTTACCTTGTCTGGAACCGCGAGCACGGCCATGATTCGTTATTCACCTAGTTCAACGGGTTATCTGTGTAATCCCCAACTCTGTTTGATGCTTGGGAAATTTACTTGTTACTGAGAATTTCTCCAGTGACAAAGGAAGAAGAAGCTAATGGGTGTTGAGAGGAACCAGTCTGGAATAAATGAAGTCATCACAAATTAATTTAATCAAAAATTTGTAGAGCCGACGAAAATTAATTAGCCGAATTTATTGACCGGTCAAAACGATCCAGCTGAAGGAGAGAGAAACAAAAGAAAAAAAAAAAAAACAATCTAAACCTGTAATTGGCTCTTGCATAAAGTAAAAAAAGTACCCCTCAATTTAATTATAATTACGATAATAATTAAAAATTTGCAAGAGAAAACAAGAAAGAGGAAAGAAAAGAAGAAGACTGCTGGAGACACTAACCTCCCATCCGTAATCAGCGATCAGACATCCTCCGTCTCTAACCAAAAATGAAAGATGATAATGGAATTACAGAAGGAAGCAGAAACGAAATAAGTGATAACTCGAATCAGAATGGCGGAAGAAATCAAAGCTTCCAAGATCTCTGTCTTCGAATCTCCTTTCTCCAGGAATCGTGCACTCCAAGATCTCTGTTGAAATCTCCGAGTATGGAAGTACGCGGCGGAGGAGTAGTCGTGGGGAGCAGGAGTGAGGAAAATGAATGGGAGAGAATTTGCGGGAGCTTCAAGGATTTATTAAGTCAAAAAGTAAACGGCTGAAGTCTTTGAATATACTATTTTATATTAAATATTATTTATTTTTAAATATTTATTGAAAATGATGTTTAAATAAATGATTAAAAAAGAGAAAATAAAAGTTGACAGATATGATTGTAAATTAAATTATAATTTAATATTAAAAAAATACCACGTCTTTCTTATTATTATTATTTGGGTTTTTTTTTTAATTATAATTATAATTATTGGATACATTTTCAAACCCACCACATGCCCTTCACGTTCTTATTACAAAATCCCATAAAAAAGGGCAAGAGAGATCGTGTTTGTTTCAATAATGTGTGTCTGTGTATATATATATATATATATATGCCGACTGAAAATCCCTTCGGCCAATAGAAAATGGAATCTCACATGTACATGTTCATATGACACTCCATATTACTCACCAAAAGACATGTTTTTTGAGGAACACCTTCTCCGACCAGGCATTACTGTTTAACTTCAACTCTTTACTAGTGCTTGAATTTAATAAAGTTTTTAAGTGTCAACAGAAGAAATAGAGAGAGAGAAAGAGAGAGAGAGAGAGAGAAATCAGAGTAGTGCATCTTGATATTTTTAAATTTAAGAACATTAAAAATAGTCTAGAGTTTATAGACTGACAATCCATTTTCTTGGACAAATAAATTTCAAAGTTTACCTACCTATGTAGTGCCTTTATGAACAACCAATGGCATTGTCTAGTCTCGATAGAACCTTATGGGAATTTCTTACTTTGTTAATTTTATATAAAAAATCACCAAATGAACCATGTTTAATTCATAATCCAATTTGTTTTGTCCAAGTAAAGTGATGATGTTATTTATAGTTTATTCTGCATCTTCTACATCTTGTTGACTTGCAGGTTTTGGTAGAAAATTTAGAAAAGTAAGAATGTAGTTTACTCATCTGGTTGTTGCGGAGGAGAGAGAACGACATGATCGAGATCCAAAAGAAATCAAGCAGATGATACAGAGCTTACAATTTGTTATTACAATCTCGAAGTTTGTGATTGAATATTTTAGTACACAGTGTCATAACAGTTTTTTAAAAATTATAATTAATTCTGTGAGCTGTCCATCATCTACCTACCAGCATCCTATTCTGATTTACAATTTGCTAATCACCTTCTGTTTCTTTTGTTCATCCAGAAGAAGCTCCTGCCAACTGATACTGTTTCCACTGGAGTAGGCGATAGAAATCTACAGGTTTTTTAATAAGCTCTCTTCCTTTTTTTTTTTTTTTTTTTTTTTTTTCCTTTTCTTCACTCTCTCCCATAATCCTAACCTGTAACTTCTATCATGTTATTTGTCGTATGTCTCCATTCTGTCATTGCTTGTTTCTTATTTACTTGTCCCTAACAGGAAGATACTTCCTCGTACGAACATTTTGTTGCAGGATCTGCCATGGCTAACGGGGACGCATTGGGTGTGCGCCTACAAACCATATTGGACGCACTATGCGCAGACCATGTCAAAGTGGTGTGTCTAGTTGGGAAACCAGGAATAGGGAAAACATGGACGGCAAACAAGGTTAGTGATATTGTAAAGCAAAAAGGTCAGTTTGATTTATGTTTTTGGCTGTCTATGAGCAGAAAACATGACAAGGAATCTCCACTTGAGAGGATTGCTGCTCATTTGCCTATATTTCTGCCAAATGAGGAGTGGGATGCGGATGACGATGGTGATGAGGATGAGGAGATGCAGACAGAGGCTTATCTGAAACAGAAAATATCAACGGTTATTGGTAAGAAGAGGTGTCTCCTAATCTTGGATGGAGTTTCTAAGGGGATGAAAGTAGATGAAATTGTATCAGAATTTGAATTATTGGTTCCTGATTTTAAGCAGCCTTCATTTAGAGCCTTAGTCACCACCATAGATTACTCTGGAAATCCTATTGGTCCTTACTTGAAGGTGTTGGAGATGGAACCCTTGTCTGCATCAGAGACCTTCACTCTTTTGCAAAAACAAGTCAGAGATCCAAATTTTGAACTACTATTTGAAGGTATATATAAGGAAAGCCAGGGTGCTCCTGCTAAAATTGAGGCTATGGCAGAAGCATTAAACTACATTACGGAATATAAAGATCAGGATTGGATAAGAGAATTTGGAGTAGACTCAACAGTTACTGATGCTTCCAGCATTATGCTCTGTTTTCTCCAAATTGCCCATGCAATTCTGCGAACCAATGATCTGATTCTTTGTTTCTGGCACAGCTGGCAGTACATTCACTTAAATGGTCCTGTTCATTTCATTCAATTGATAGCCCATTGGATTGTGGAGGGTTGTCTGGGTCCTGTTGATTGTATTGAGGATTCTTTTAAGAAGGGTTACTCTGTTTTCATGGAGTTTATAAGTCGAGGGTTTCTAAAACATGTGGAGTCCAACTGTGTTGTAATGGTAGGATGTGCTATGAAAGTGCCTTATTGGTCGATCAGAGATGAAGAAGATTATGGGATTTACCACAAGAACAAAGATGGAGGGCATTATTCTGGTCGGGATTCCCAAAGATATGTAGGTACACAGAGCTGTTTAATGGTTCCTGCTTTGATGAGCGACATGTGGGAAGGATGTGGGGACATTGCACTGATTGATGACGTGATAAGAACTGTTGGATATAGTAGCAAATCAGAGAAAATTTCAACATTATTACTTGATGGTAATTGTCTAGGCAAGGAAGTCCCTGAAGCATTTTTCCAAAGCATGAGTGGTCTCAATGTTTTTGGCATCTTCAACCCCATAATTAAATCTCTACCAGCATTTTTTTCGCTCATGCAAGAGCTTACAGTGCTTGTCTTAAGGGGCTGTGAGTTTCTTGAGAATATTGATCAGATACAATGGCTCAAATCGTTAGTTATTCTTGAGATATCTGGTGCTACATCATTGATGACAATTCCAGATGATTTATTGCAGCAATTGCTTCATCTCCAAAGTCTCAACTTCTCTGAAGTACAGGTTGAAATGTTGCCTAGTTCTATTTCCAACTTAACTGAATTACGCTGGCTTATCTTGAGAGGGTGTCGCCACCTGAAAATGCTTCCACGACTAAGTGCCTTGCAAAAGCTTGAGGTCATTGATCTTTTTGGTGCTTCATGTTTTCAAAGATTCTACGAAAGTTCCTTTTTGCAATTTACAAAGCTCAGGATCCTTGATGTTTCCCACTCGCAGATTGATCGCCTACCACTTCTATACGGTTGTGAAGAGCTAACACAGCTTGTATTGAGAAATTGTAGATTCTTGACAAGACTTCCAAGGCTAAAAACGCTCTCTAATCTCCAAGTTCTTGATCTTTCTGGTGCTATCTGTTTAAAGGAGATCTATGATGACATTTTCAAAACTGCACAAAACCTTAAAGTTCTTGATTTCTCTGAAATTGGCTTGCATGCCTTACCTTCCATCACTTGCAATCTTTCTCATATTTTGCTAAGAAATTGTACAGCACTGACGAAGCTGCCAAGTACAAAAACTTGTAAGGACCTTGAATTACTTGATCTCTCTGGTTCCTCTAATCTAGTTAAAATTGAAGACCAATCCTTTAAACATTTGTGGTGCCTTCGTTGCCTAAACCTCTCAAATACCAAACTCCGGTCTTTACCATCGCTAGCGCATCTTCTTAACCTTCGTTTTGTCATTTTAAGGGATTGTGAATTCTTAAAGCGTCTTCCAGAAATGAAAGGACTTGCAGGGCTTGAGGTACTTGACCTCACTAATGCACGTTCTCTGACAGGTTTTGATTACAGCCAGTTCCCAAATATGCGCCAGCTTATCCTATGTGGTTGTTCCTCCCTTAGCCGGTTGCCAGCTGTCCCCAAAAATCTTGAAGTGATTGATCTTTCAGGTTGCACTAATTTGTCATTAGATAGTGAGGATTCCCATCCTCTGTTGGGTTTGTCTCGACTTCGGATACTCAGACTTTCTGGAATTTGGACTTTTTATTTTCCCATCTTGGAGTCTCTATCAAATCTTGAGGAGCTCAATACTTCTAATTTAAGATATCTACCTAGAAATGATTCTTTTCCGCGTCATTTACTTAGTGCTATGAGGAACCTTCGGATTCTCAACCTGTCCAAAACTCCCATTTACGTAGATGTTTTCTTCCTAAGTAACTTAACCCAGTTGTCACTGAGAGGGTGGACAGGGATGGAAGATGCATCAGGCTTGGAAAAGCTTACAAGGCTTGAAGTTCTTGATCTTTCTGAAACAGCAGTCACATGCCTTCCTTCCCTCAAGTTCTTATGCAACCTCCGCCAGCTCTTGCTAAGAGATTGTTGGGGCCTGAAGAAGCTGCAGCATTTGGAATCACTTAGCCACTTGGAGGTTCTTGATCTTTGGGGTACTGGGATAAAAGAATTTCCCTATGAGATCTCAGAGTTGCCTCGCCTTAAAAACCTCCATCTCCCCCTCCTGAAGGATACTGAAGAACTTGATTGGAGGCGGATAAAGTGCCTTCCAGAGGAACTAAATTGGGTTGATTGTGGCATCTTTGGGACAGGGAAAAGATTTCCATCGAGTGTAAATAATCTCCACATAATGGTCAGTGGCAGCAAGTTTTTCGAATTTTTTGATGAAATGAATCCTGTGTTATGGGATACATACTTCAAGCAATTTTATTTTTCTGTTTTACCTCCGAGAAAGCAAGGTGACGATGGAGATTTCTTTAGCCACAGAGATGAAGCCAAATTTAGAGATATTTACTCAAGGACCAGATGTTTTCCTAGGTACTTGGAAATCCACAGGCAATCTCTGGAAATTCGGTCTTGCAGTCCCTTCCTTGGTCTGCAGGGTGTTCTCAAGCGTGCTCGATATATATGTTTACGAGATAATGCAAATATCAGTTGCTTATATGAATTGGGTGCAAACAATATCAGGGCAATGAGAGGCTGTTGGATAGAGAGATGCACTAACATGGAGAGTGTTTTCAGTAGAGAAGAGGAAGCTGTTGGAGCATCAGACAAACTTGAGACTCTGCAGATTCTTAACCTCCCTAATCTGAAGAGTATATGCGACAAGACTTTGCAAGTTGAGAGATTCAGCAGTCTTAAGCATCTGTATCTAGACTGTTGTCCACTACTTGAAATTGTTTTCTCCTCGTCCCATCAACCAATGAATCTTGAGACTCTTCAGATTAGGTTCTGTGATAATCTCAAATGCGTATTTGAGTCTGATGGAACAACGGTGTGTTCGATGAAACATCTAAGGACTCTGCATTTGTTTGAACTGCCAGAGTTGAAAAGCATTGGAGCTGCCTTGCCTTCTCTTGAAAGATTTACAGGGGGAGAATGCCCAAAACTTGATGAGTTTTTTACATGCTTCTTTCTTTTTGTTGGGGCAATACAAAACTGGACTATGACCACGAGTTCTGGAGTTGAGGAACAATGTGATGACAGTAATGCCTGTCTTGGGTTGCCGAAGTTTCCTCCCCGAAGAAAACACATGGGCTCTCAGAAGTGAAGAAATGAAATTACACATGAACGAAGACTTTCAGAACTTTTGACAAGTAACTCCAGGTTTGTTGTTATTTGCAGTTTTATGTTGTTTTATCAATTTAATTGTTGCTCGGGGTTTGTTGTTACTTTCTATTTTATATCAGAAACTACTTGCACCAAAGCACTAAGACAAACCTCATCAAGAACAAGTTTCAATATAAACTTCCATCCATCAATTTGTCATATATGAAGATTAACTCTCTTACATCGACTTAATATAAGTAATTAAATGACAAAATAAATAAACTCGTCCTCTTATTTCGATTTATATATTTTTTTGCAGCTACTCTCTATGCTTTGAATGGTGTCAAGCGAAAATTATTAACGAATAATGCGAACAACAGAGTGACCGATGTGATTGTAAATTAAATTATAATTTAATATTAAAAGAATATAAAGTCTTTCTTGTTATTATTATTATTATTATTATTTTAATTTTAATTTTAATTTTTGGATACATTTTCAAACCCACCCCATGCCCTTCACGTTGTTATTACAAAATCCCATAAAAAAAGGGAAAGAGAGATCATGTTTGTTTTAATAATGTATACATATATATGCCGACTGAAAATTTATATTTATAAAAATTATTTGTTTATAAAATCCATTCGGCCAACTACTATTAATATTATTATATGCAATGTTTGGTTGGGTGAATAGAAAATGGAATCTCATGAAAACTTGAGGGAGAAATACATATATATATATATTCCTTTCGAAGAGCAATTTATTACTAAAATAAAATGAAAATGAATGAGAATCACTTGTTTATATTTATATAATTCGTTTACATTAAAATATCTCTTTTAACAATGACATCGATTAATTTTAATATAAATTTTATAAATATTATAATCAAAAGAAATAATCGAACTTGTAAACTTAAACTTTACCGATAACTCATTTATTTTTGGCAAATAAATTTAAAAATTTATGTATATAGAGCCTTCATGAACAATCAATGGCGTTGTTTGTTCTTATAAGCCTCAGTTTTATTTGGACTCGTCATTTTTTCTTACCATGATCTTCTCATTATTTTCAATTCAAGCTCTAAAAAGTTTGTTGTCTTGCCACTCAAATTCAAAGAGGCTTGGTTGAGGGATGCCTGATGTGCGTTGGTGGTGAAAAATGCTTCAGAAACCTCATTCCTTGGCTCAGTAACGCATCACTAACAACATTAGAATTAACCTTAAATATGTCGCAACATAACTTGATAAAATCTAACAATTGCAGCTTATGTTACGGAACCTACAAAAAGAAGCAGCATCGTAAAGATGAATTATATGAATGGTAGATTAAAGATGAAACCTATCAGAAACAGTGAAGTATAGAAAAATTAGTAAGTGAGAGGGACCTAGACACTAGATACTTCCACTTATTGGTAACGAAATGAAAAAAAAGGACTATTGAAGCAATAAAAAATAATGACGGGAGTTAGATGACGCAGCAACACAAGTATGGTACTAGATTTATAATAAATATATATATATTTAAACATTATTAAGACTAATTAATAAATCAGTTTAAATTAGTTAATTACATTGTAACCGTTTTTGTTTTCTTTTGTTTTCTTCTGCTATAGTACAACACCAGTGGCAATATATGCATTCCTGTAATTTGTTTCCTTCTGCTACAGTACAATAGCATTGGCAATATATGTATTCCTGTAAGCAAGAAAAAATCATTTAGAAGGAAATATTTTTCTTAGTTATTCTGCTTCTTCCTGGCTCCATTTTGTTCTTCCTTCTTTTCTATTATGGTATCAGAGCCATGAACCTTTAACCAACATTTTTTTTAGCTCAGTAATTGAGCTATAAAACATTTGATCTCCAATGACTAGAGATTAGTTTGATGACCCCCAAAACCTGTTCTTCCTTCACAGTGCCGACCACTCCAGTTTAGCTTTGGTGTCCAACTTTCTCAATGGCAGCAACTACAACACATGGGAGAGAGCAATCAGGGTAGCACTGACCACTAAAAATAAATTGGGATTGATAGACGGAACCCACAATCAACCGAACATCACCGACTCCCATGCCGCAACTTGGTCGCGTTGTAACAGTATGGTGATTTCTTGGTTGCTGAATGATGTAACAAAGGAGATCACTAACAGCTTATTATACCATGAAAGTGCACAATTCATCTGGACCGATTTGCAGCTTCGTTATCAACAGAGCAATGCACCACATATCTACCAACTGAAACAGAGCATGAACAACCTTACTCAAGGGTCACTTAGTATCAACACATATTACACATGAATGAAAACGATCTGGGACGAACTCAAAACTTTCAGCCAGCTCCAACCTGTCACTGCGGAAACATGAAGGCGTGGAATGATTATCAGGAACAAGAGTTTGTCATGACTTTCTTAATGGGATTAAATCCCTCCTATGCTGCTGTTAGAGCCCAAATTTTGATGATGGAATGTTCTCCATCCATTTTGAAAGTTTTCTCGCTGGTGGTGCAGGAAGAGCGACACCGTGTAATCGGGTTCGACACACACGCAGAAACGGATCACGGTTCCGAATTCTCTGTTGTCCTAACTCAAGGAAGAAGAAGACCCACCTGTTCACACTGTGGCCTTGTGGGCCATACTGTGGACAGGTGTTACCGCCTGCATGGCTACCCACCAGGCCTCAAGCCCAAGCTCAAAATACGTTTCAATGATGGAACTGTCCAAGTCTAAAACCAGACCTGCAATGCCTCAGCTGTTTTTAATGAGGGACCAGTCCAAACACAGGCCCAAACCCGCAACCCTCCAGTTGTCTCTCGGCCCACTCATGGAACCAGGTCTTTCAACCCGACTGGCCTCCAATCCAGACCCGGTTTCTTCTCTGCCAACCAAGCCTTGGCCCATGAAGTTTCTTTTCTAGAACACACTCCTTCTTCCTCCTCGGGCACGCACCCCATTTCAAGACCAATGCAGAACTTCATCGCCTCTGTCGACGACTGTTTACCAACATCTAATTTCGTCGATGACTTAAGCACATCGCAAATTCAGAACATTATTGCTCACCTAAGTGCACGTCTCCACCAATCGAACTCCGTCATCTCTCTGGACAACCTATCTCTCTCCACAAGTCACGCCACTCCTGATCCTCGCGCGGTAGGTATATCCTACACACCCTTTTGCCTTTCCAACTTCACACACACACACTTACCTCTAAATGCTGGATCATTGACTTTGGAGTCACACATCACATTTGTTGCACACCTACCCTTTTCACACACCTTGAAAATGTGCATCCCCAGTCACACCTACCCTACTCTACATGATGTTCTCTTTGTCCCTCATTTTTTCTTTAATCTTGTCAGTGTCAGCATGTTGACTACTACCCACAACTGCACAATTAATTTCTCTCTTCATTCTTGTGTCATCCAGGACTGCATTCGGGACTTGTTGATTGGGAAGGGTAGACGCATTGGCAACCTCTACTACTTAACTACCAGATATTTTCCTTCTCCTACTGTTCATTATGTTTCCACTAACTCTAAAAGTAGCCTATGACACTTTAGATTGGGTCATCCTTCCTATGTAAAACTTCAGTATATTAATGAAGCCTTACCAACTTCGAACATTTCTCATTGTAAAATTTGTTATTTGCCTAAACAACTTAAATTATCTTTCGTTTCTAATAATAGATTATCTGACCATCCATTTGATCTAATCCACATCGACATTTGGGGCCCCTTCTCTCCACCCACTATCGAAGGGTACAAATATTTTCTCACAATTGTTGATAATTGCACTAGGACTACTTGGGTGTATCTCCTTCGTCAAAAGTCCGACGTTCTCATCATTTTTCCTGAATTTTAGACTCTCATACTTATACAATATAATATTTTCATTAAATCTGTGCGATCTGACAATGCACACGAGTTAAATTTTCATTCATTTTTCAAGTCAAAAGGTATTGTTTCCTATCATTCCTGTGTTGAGACTCCCAAACAAAACTCTGTTGTTGAACGTAAACATCAATACATTTTAAATGTGGCACATGCTTTACTGTTCTAATCCCATGTTCCCATTGTGTATTGGGGCGATTGCATCTTGACTGCAATTTACCTAATCAACCGTACACCTTCCCCCTTGTTATCTAATAAAACTCCATTTGAACTATTAACTAAAAAAAAAACCTTCCTATGATCACTTGCACACCTTTGGTTGTCTATGCTACTATTCAACTCTTGATAGTCATTGCCATAAATTCTCACATTGTTCTAGGGCCTGTGTCTTCCTTGGTTACCCTTCGGGTTACAAAGGATATAAATTTCTCGACATCGAGAGCAACCAAAATTTCATCTCACGTAACGTCATTTTTCATGAACATATCTTTCTGTTTCTTTCATCTCACTCATCTGATCCCATTCACAATGATTTTTTTCATGATCGTGTTTTACTTGTTTCTCTCCATACGTCTACACACACCTCAGGTTCTCTTGATACATCTATTCGCTCACAATATGAGTCCTCCCAAACACTCTCATTTCACCCACTACGTATAACATGACCACTTTCTTATCTGTCTGACTATCACTGCTACCATACAAATGCATATGTACTTTATCCCATTTCTTCATTCTTTACTCATACCAAACTTACACTCTAATATCACAACTTTATTTGTGTCATTTCCTCCCATACTGAGCCTACTAACTTTTATGAGGCTAACCAGTTCGATGTTTGGATGAATGCTATGAACGTGGAGCTACGTGCCTTAGAGAACAATAACACTTGGTTCATTATTTCTTTCCCTCTTGGGAAGAAACCCGTTGATTGCAAGTGGATTTAGAAAGTTAAATATCAAGCTGATGGGACCATAAAAAGACACAAAGCCTGTCTGGTTACAAAGGGCACACACAAAAATTTGGCATAGATTTCCTTGACACCTTCTCTCCTATTGCCAAATTGGTTACTGTCAAGATTTTGCTTTCACTCGCTGCTATCCATGGTTGGCACCTGACTCAGTTGGATTGTAACACTCAAGTAAAATAAAATTCTATTTTATTATTTTTTATTTTTATTTATTTGATTTTTATTTAATTTAATTTAATGAAAATAAAATAATAATAATGATATTATTGAGTAAAAATATTATTTGAATTTAATTGAAATTGATTTTGGGAAAAAGGGGTGAAAATTTGGATTTTGAGGGTGTTTTTAAAAAGAAAATCGAAAACCGAGGGTCAAAACGTAATTTAAAAAAATTATGCCACGTCAGCACCCACCTCAGCAGTCACGTCAGCGGCTCGGTCAGCAGCCCCGGCCAACCAGGACACGCCGCATAGCAAGAAAACGCTGACCAGGAAATGGGCCACGTGGGCGATTTGCGTGCGCGCGATCGGAAGGTCCAGATCCATTTCCGCACGCACGGACGGCCCAGATCAAACGTGCACACGGACGGCCCAGATTCACGCATACGGACGGCCTAGATTTAATCCCAATTAAATCGTGATCAAACGGTCCAAATTTAATCTTGATAGACAATTGAGATTAAAAGGCAAAGGGTATAAATAACCCCACCCACACCTGACCACAAAACCCTAGCCGCCAGTGCGTCGCCGGAGAAAAAGAACCAGACG